TACTGCATAGAGAGGAGTTAAACTGATTTCAGATAACCAGTGATCTACAACAAAGAACATGAAGAGGTTACTGCAGGGTATTGAAAATCACAGGCAGCAATATTAAATATAGCATATATTATACAAGCTGCTTTTGTTTGGCTTGATTTAATTTTTAATTATTTGAAAGTTATTTGGGTTCTGGAATAGTTATAAAATATGATAATAAAAGTTTTTATATTGTACACAAAGACTAGAATGGGAAAAAAGTCAATTTGGGATTTTTTTTCCCATTCTAGTTTTTGTAAAAGTTCAGAATGTAAATAAATGGTCTAATTTTTAAAATTAGACCATTTATTACACTAGCTGTCATGACCCGTAAAATATGGGTCTTTGTAAATTTAATCCACATCACCCTTTTCTTTACTTATTCCTTACTTCAATATTTTGTAGTGAGATGTAGAAAAATAGTTATATGCATATAGAAAAACTTGTTTTCTTAAAGAAAAATAAAAATTTCTATTATAATTAACCTTCACAAACTTTAAATATTACGGTAACCGTTGTGTAAATCGCCGATTGGATGTTAGTACTTGTCTAAATACCCGCTTTGACCATCGGTATAAAAAAATTCACATGACCCATAAAAACACAGGTCTATTCCATGCCGACCTATTCCAAAAAAAAACAAGTCTATTCCATGCCGACCTTTTCTATACTTTTTCATTATATGTATATCCTAGCTTTCCGGACCAGTAAAATACAGATCTTTACCAAAGCGACCATTTTTATACTAATTTACACAGATCATTTCCTATTATTACTTTAATATTATTTGGTAAAATAAAATGATTTTAAAATTTTCTAATTAAATTGCATTAAGCACAGGCAGAATTGGCAAAAAAAAATTAACATGGGTACATTTTCCATATATGGATCTTATAAGAGTATCTTATATAAGTGGATCTTATAAGAGATTTCTAAAATAGTTTGTTTTTCTCATAAATGGAGCACTCTTAGCAAAAATAGGCGATAACTATCTCGTCCGCACCCGAGAAAACCACAACATTCCTGTGAAAGCTTATGGCCATGGGATTCCAAAAATGTAAACATTCAAATCATCTGCCTACGTCCGTGAAAGAAAATCAATTTTGAAATTTTCCTTTACTACACATTTATGTGAAATGACAGCATTTCTATTTTTTGCATTTTTACAGCTTTTATTAAATGTAAAAAACTTCTAACAAATTTCAGGAAAGGGCACTTTTTAAAAGATACTAAATCTGTGAAGGTTGCATTTTTGAGTCTCTTAAGAAAAAAACGAAAAAATGCAAATTCGGCTAGGAATCATGATGAAAACAGGAAAGTTGTTTGCCTCCTGTGTCTCAAAAAGGCAAACAGACAGCTCACAACGTTTTTGCATAAAAAAATTCAACAAGTCTACAGACAACAAATCATTTTTGAAGATGTAAGAGTACCGCAAGGGCTGTGTGAAACTTGTAGAACTCTGAGGAAACATTATGAAGGACAACCTGGTGAATTACCAGCTCTTTTTATATATGTGTAATAAAGGAAAATTTCAAAATTGAAGGAATTTAAAGGAAAATTTCAAATTTTCACGGATGTAGGCAGATGGTTTTAATTTTTACATTTTTAGAATCCCATGGTCATAAGCTTTCACAGGAATGTTGCGGTTTTCTAGTGTGCAGACTGGACAGTTATCTCCTATTTTTGCTAAGAGTGGGAGAAACTCTATTCCACATTTACTTTGTCTATATTTCTGCTTCTAATATTTATTATCGAACAATAGATTATGAGCAAATATGAAAGTTCACATATGCACCTTTTCCATATACGTAGAGCTTATTAAAACCTTTACCCCATATTTTTATTTAAAATTAAAAATTCTGAAGTTAACTACTAAAAAAGCCCAGATTTATCTAATTAAATATGTTAGGCACTTAACATAAATAATTTTAAACAGGCAATTCCAAAACAAAGTAATAATTATATTCAAAGCAATTGAGGACCAATTATATTATACCGTATATTATATATACCGTCAATTGGCAATTGACTATTGTCCATAATTATTCAAATGGTTATATTGTTTTGATATAAGATATCAAAGTTGGGAGAAAATTGAAAACACTATCTACTTGAATTATGTTATCTTCCTATTTGTTAGGTTTACAAATAAAATTACCCAGATTAGTTTATAATTTATTAAAAACCTTAATTAGTTTATAATTTACTTGCCTATTAATCACCTTTAGCAACAATAACCACCATATATATTCTTAGCATTGTACTTAACGACTTATCTAATTAGTCAATTTTATGTAACTAAGTTTTTTCAAAAAAGAAAAAATACACCACAGGTATTAAATGTAAATCAATTTATTAATATACTATATATTATATTATATAAATATATTATTATACGTAATAACAAAACAAAAAGTATAAAAAGTTTTATTATTTTTAAACTACACCTGCATCATCAACTAACAATTGGTAGATTAACTACAAAAATACAAATTATAGATATAGCGTATTTTTCCAATGCTCTCTCTTCTCATATTTTATTTTTTACAGGATCCAAACTCCTTATTAAAAAAAAAACAAAGGGTGAGGAAGAGTGAACTTTTGCCCTAAATTAGGGCCCACAACTTATGTGCCTTGTCAGATCTGGGCCCTTTATTTGATTTGCAATATGCTGAAAAAAAAAATTTTTTAATTTTTAAAGCGCAAAACAAAACAACTTCATAGTTATCTTTTAAAAGCAATTTATTTTGTATTTTAAAAAAATCAATAGAAAATTAAAAAAAAAAAGAGTCCTGACGATAGGACTCGAACCACAATTTCCATTTCCGTATGATGGTACGCTAACCCCTTGGCCATAGTGACACATAATTAAGACAAAGTTTAAAATTATTTAAAAAACAAGTCTTTATAAAATGGAAATAAATGCTATAGATCAAAATTAAAAATATGTTGTCGCAATGCAAGCTTATTATTACATATTTATTATTACAAAACTTGGTATTACATACATAATAAAAATACATTAAACATACAGTTTTGTTCAAAGATACACCTTTATTTAAAGATACACTTTCGTTCACGTTTTTTTTTTAAAAACAAAGCTGCTCCAACTCTTTCTAACCATTACCTCTGTTGCAATGGCTGCCAAGAGTTTTGGTCAAACAGGCTTAAAAGGGCGCTATTGAGCTCATTATTATTAATTAGATTTTGATTTAGATAAACATAAACATATTCTCCAAAAAAAACCTTTATCCAACTAAACTAATTGGCTGTGTTTTAAAAACCTACCTAAATAAACTATATAAAAAGATAATAAAAAATTATCAATTTTCTCAATAATAAATTTCTTTTAAATGCTGTATATTGGTAAAATGTCAATTTCAACAGTTCAAACAATTTCAAAAACAATATCAAAACAAAATAATTGACTCATGTAAAACTCTCTATATTAAATTGGCATTCTGATCTTTGAAAATTAATTCATATTTTTCAACAAAAAATAAAACTCCTCAACATCTCTGCTCAAATGTCATATATAAAGTTGTGTGTAAAAGCTCTAATGCATATTAAATGGGTCAAACCACTCGACATTTAAGTAAATATATTGAGGAACATATGAAAAACTTCACATATTTATTTGAAAACTAGTTTCTTTAATGTAGCTAATGAAGACTTCTTTTCGGTATTAGAGTACACCCATTAGTTAAAAATCAAGGAAGTGTTTTGAAAAAACCTGATCTTAATAAACAGGTTATTAATTACACGCTATCACTCTAATTGATACTTTCTATTACTTTATAACATATGTATTACACTAATTATCTACATTTTCCACTTCTATGACGTAGTGTTTCACACCTTTTACATTTTCTGCAGTTTGACTAAATGTTTTTTTAGTTTGATTTAATGTTTGTTTTCACTATATATTAAATAGTTTTTGTGTTTAACAGTTTTATACTTGAAAATGATTATTGTATAATCAAAAAATGTTGTTTAAACTGAAAAAAATTATTATATTTATTAGACTAATTACAAATTTTGTGCTATTATGACCATATATATACTTAAATGTAAAAACCATAACTTCTTCATAAATTTTTTTTTTTTTTTTTTTTTTTTTTTTTTTTTTGTCAAGATTACCCACCGATTGATTAGAAAAAAGTTCACTTTTCACATTTTTTGTATACATTATAGTTTTCGAGTTTACCGCAGAAAACGAAAGTGTTTACAGACAGACCAATAACGTCTATGTTTTTTTGATAAGTATATATATATTATATATATATATATATATATATATATATATATATATATATATATATATATATATATATATATATATATATATATATATATATATATATATATATATATATATATATATATATATATATATATATATATATATAGATCAAATTAACTTCTTCATTATGTCGGGTAATGTATTATGAGGAATTCAAGTCTCTTGCTGCACCTGACAATAGGTTTTACTCTAATTGACTAGATTGACAGCTAAATTTCTCGAGAAACAGTCCAGTTACGTTTACCTCCAACCATTTTACTTTACAAAAACATGAAACCTTTATTTTATACAAAACTTTTTTTTTTACTACAAAAAAACAGTTTTTTGTTATGCAATTTCATTAATTGTATAAAAATTTGATCAAATATTTCAACAAATTTCACATAAAATTAATTAAACTTACCTAAATATTGCTTGGTCGGATTATTTTTTTACAAGCCTTTTCAATACTAAGTTTCTTTTAGGACAAATAATAAACCAACTGAAGCACGAATCAAAAAATATGAACGCAAACTGCACTTGTTTTTATTATATTATTTTAGTTTTATACTTAATTTTTTTTAGATGTTATTATAATATGTTGTTATGCTTTATTTTAATATATTTTAACAATTTTCAAAGAATTTTCAACTTTTTTTGAATGCTAAAAATTCTGTTTTTTAATTTGTAGAGTATGTATACAGCTAAATATGCCAAATGACATCTTATTTAAAATTGATGCATTAGCTGTTTCTTTGAACACCTTAGAGAAAAAATCTCTCTTTGTGCAGAGTATTTCTTACTGGGCACCTGCCAATATAGGACCGTACAGCCAAGCTGTAAAGGTTAGTTTGTTAAATTTTTCTAATTGATGGTGATCATGATAATCAGGGCTTGGATTAATGCAATATATCACATTACTAAAAAAAATCAACACCACCCACCTGTGACACCCCTACCCACTTTTTCTTGTTTTTGGAAGGTCAAGTTGGTTTGACAAGGTTCTAACTGACATTTTTGCCAAAATCGACTTTATCATTTTATTAGACTATTTTAATCATGATGAACAAAATAAACTGAAATTTACAGCAATATAGCGTAAAACAAGCAAACTGCTAATGTGCCAAAGTTCTATCTGCAACTTTAGTTAAATGATATTTAGTTTGACAAGGTTCTAACTAACAATAACTGCATAATCTCTTGCTTGTTTTTATTAACTAATTATTATGATAAAAAATCATATAAAAAAATTCTGACACCGATGTAGAATAAAATATCATTAAAGCTATTATTTGACATTTAAAAAAAATCTTTTTTATAACATTCTGTAGCTTTACTCAAATTGACACCTGTAACATTGAAAAACAAAATTCTGGTTTCGATTAGCATAGAAATAACTATTATTATTCAAAATAAAAAGGGGATTTATGAGCTAAAATATTTTTTTAAAATAATGATGTTTATGCATTAATAAATTTACAAACTTTTCACAGTCAATGCAAGTACAATTTGCCGCGCCATTCCCTTACGGTAAGTCGATCTAACTATATTTTGCAGTGTCTACCCCAAAAAGTAAGTCAATACTTGTTCATTTTTCTTCACTTATCTACAACGGTTAGTCGATATATGTGCACTTTAGAACGTTGATTTTACAAAGTAACTTATTTTAAATTGTTAAATCAAATATAACAGTAATATTAAAAATTAAACAACTTGTAATAAAACATTTTTGTATCAATAATAAAAGCCAGGCTGCGTAGTTAAAAAAAGATTTTAAAAATGATTTGAAAGTAAAAAAAAAAAACAATTTGAAAAGTTATTATTTTCGTTTTAAGTAAAATATCAACAGAAAATGGAAAGAGTAGTATTTGATAAAGAAAGCAGTTATGATAGTGACGAATTTGTAGCTCCAACTAGTGAAAACGGCGAAGACTGCTATGAATTAAGTACACGGTTAGTAACCTAATATAAGTTTTTTGTGTGACTTTGGCCATGCATTTACATATTAAAATAGCTAAATTACTTTTTAATATTTAAACAGGAAGAAGAGGCGCTTTAATTTAACCAGAACTGTACTAGAATGTTTAATATATATTTTTTTTATTTATGATTTGTTTTTTTAATAAAAATTTCATCTAAAAAGTGATTTCGACATTAAAATCTACTATTATATACAAAGTGAACCATTTTAATCATTTAAGAACGATTTAATTAGTATATATTTTTTTTTTTTTTATTTTTTTTTTTATTTGCATTCACTCCCAACAAGGCTGCAAGCAACCACTATTAAGTTGGGAGTTACTAGGAAAAAAAAAGAACAGAGTTATAAAGCAAGGAAACGGTTGACAGAAGACTTAAAAAGTTGAAGGTTGTATGAGTCAGGAAAACATGAAGATGGGAGAGAGTTCCAAAGAATTGAAGTGCGGGGAAAAAAACTAGATGAATAAAAGTTTTTAGAGCATGCAGGGACAGATACAGAAAACGAATAAGACTTAGCTGAATGACGAGTAAAACGAGAATGAATTTTAGTTGATGGAACTAGAGATGATAACTCCTTTGAGCAGTGACCATGATAGTATCTGTAGAAAAGAGAAAGAGATGCAACTTTACGACGATGGGAAAGAGGTTCAAGCTTAGCAGATAGTCCAGGTCCAACAACATTTACAATGCGTTTTTGGACCTTGTCAAGAAGAGAGAGTGAATCGCCAGAAGAACCAGCCCAAATATGACAACAGTATTCCATACAGGGACGAATAAGAGATTTGTAGAGGTAGAGAATGGAATCAGAAGTAAGGAAATGGCGAGCACGATAAAGAGAAGCAACCTTAGCAGAAGCTAATTTAGCAATCGATTGTATATATGGTTTCCATGAAAGGTCAGTAGTAAGCGATAATCCAAGAAGACGTAAAGAGGACGACTCAGTAAGAGGATTGCCATTCATTAATATAGGAGTGTTGACCATATTACGGTAGTTGTTTGCAGTAAGCAATTGGGTTTTTTTAGAGTTGAAATTCACAAGCCACTGTGAACCCCAATCTATTACTGAAGTGAGATCAGATTCAAGATCAGCTGCTTGTTCTAGGCGATCGAAAAGAGAAGACTTTTTGTCAAGACAGGAGTATAAAGTTGAGTCATCAGCATAAAGAGCTACTTTAGATGAAAGGTTGTCAGGAAGATCGTTTATGTAGATAAGAAACAATACAGGGCCCAGGATGGAACCTTGGGTAACCCCAGAAGTTACTGGAAATAAAGAAGAGTGTTGGCCTTCAAGGATGACTTTAATAAACCGGTCAGAAAGAAATGATTTGATAATCTCAAAAACTTTCCCAGAAACACCATATGAAGCAAGCTTATGGAGAAGACCAGCATGCCAAACTTTGTCGAAAGCTTTAGATATGTCGAGAGCAATAGCCCTAGCCTCACCGCCTCCATCTAATGCACGATAAAATCTTTCAGTTACAGCAGTTAGCAAGTCGGCCGTAGAGCGAGAGGATTGAAAACCGTATTGATTGTCTTAATTATTTGACTCAAGATGAGATGTGAGGAATTTGTTGATTAAAGACTCAAAGACCTTGCTAATAACAGAAAGAAGACTGATCGGACGATAATTGGAGGGGTCAGAATTTTCTCCAGAGTTTTTGAATATTGGAACCACAGATGCCATTTTCCAACAAGCAGGAAAACAAGACTCAGTCAAACACTTGTTAAATAGTTTAGAGAGAATTGAAGAAAGTTCTGGAGAACAATTCTGCAAGACTGTGACAGGAATGTTGTCTGGACCACAAGCTGTAGACGAGTTTAATTGAGATATGATTATATCTCTATATGATTATATACTAGAGATACTATTATATCTCTATATGATTATATACTAGAGATACTATACTAAATATGATTATATACTAGAGATACTATTATTGACTAAGTAGTAATACTCTTCTAGGGATCAAGTTCAACAAACGTTTAAGAAAAAATTCCGAAAACATATATCTAAACCTGAAACCTGGGGATGTAATAAAAAAAAAAAGGCATATCAAGCTGGTAAAAATTATACAAGTCAAAGAGGAAAACAAGTACCAAATAAGATTATTCAAACAAAAAAAAACTGTCTGGCAAACTGTAAGTACGAATGTGCTAAGAAAATATCAGAAGATGAGCGAATCGATATTTTTTCATCATTTTATGCCTTAAATTCAGCTACTGAAAAGAGGCATTTCTTTGTTACTTCGACTGATCACACAACCACTGCTAGACCAAAAAGAAACCACAAGGAAAACAATGATAGTGATACTGCAAATAAAGAAACTGATGACCACGCTGAAAAACAAGTTTTTTCAAAAAGGAAGTACGCCTATAGATTTTTTTATATAAAAGGTGAAAAAGTTCGTGTTTGCAAAACATTCTACTTAACTACACTGTCCATTTCACAAAAGCTAGTTTACACAGCTCACAACACCAAACATATTAAAACAAATACTCCTGCACAAGATCTACGAGGTAAAATCATGAAAGGCAAACGTACACCGAATAGTGATGCCAACTCAGCTAGGGATCACATAAAATCTTTTCCAACAGTTGAGTCACATTATTGTCGTGTAAGTACCAATAGAGAATACCTTGAGTCACACCTTAATGTTTCAAAAATGTATAATCTTTAGAAAGAGAAATGTATAAATGAAAATATTGAGCCAGTAAAAAAATCTATGTACTACCATATTTTCTCCACCGAATTCAATCTTAGTTTTTACATTCCCAAAAAGGATAGATGTGACCTTTGTGAGAAGTTTAAAGTTGCTGAAAACACTGATACTATGTCTGAAAAATTGAGAGAAGACTTTGAAATACATCAAGTTTTTAAAAAAGAAGTGAGAGATATATGTTCTGAAGAGAAAAAAGAAAAAATTGTCCTGTTTTACTTTTTGACCTTCAAAATGTTATTTTGACTCCGCATGCAGAAATTAGTTCCCTTTTTTATTTGAGAAAGCTTAGCGTGTATAATTTGACAGCTTATTTTTCAACAATATACCTATAAATAAACATGAAAAACTTTTAAGGGTTTTAACCCTGTACTTAATGTAATGGTTTTAAAATGTACCAAAAAAACGTAGTATAAAAAAAATAAAAAATGAGTAAAAAAAATGTTGTAACCTTGTTTTGTGACTGGAACAATAATCTAATTTATGAAAATTAGCTTTTTATTATATTATTGTTTCAGTTACAAAATTTAAAGTAACTAACAGCTTCAGTCACAAAGTTTCAAAGTAACTAACATGTTTCTAACTACAATTATAACAGCAGTTAGAACCTTGTCATAGTGAGAATATGATTATTTCACTATAACAAGGTTCTAACTGCGTTTTGGGGGTATTCATTTTTCTATAAAAAGTGAAACATTTTTTAATAAAAAATAGTAATACTTATAGCAAATGCTTATATTATCATGAGTAAAAAATATTATCGATGAATTTTAATAAATTTTGATGGGAGAAACATAACAATTTTTAACATTGATTTGCTCAAAACTACTCGCTGATCAGTTAGAACCTTGTCAAACCAACGCGACGAGGTGTTGAAGCTGTTACAATAATTGTTCAAAATAAATAAAACGATATTTTCATATATTATATAAAAATGCAATCAACAAATAAAAATTTTTTAAATTTTTATTAAATAAAATTTAATAAAAAAAATTAATTCCAACTCTGATGATAATGATGATGATGATGATGATGATGGTGATGATGTTTATGATGATGATGATGATGCTGATAAGATAGTGATGATGATGATGATGATGATGATGATGATGATGATGATGATGATGATGATGATTTTTATGATTTTATAGGTGGATTATAATACTTATTATTCTGGTTCAATTGGACTGCTACCTCCATCTATGACTCTTATTTCAGGTCCTATTGAGCAAGAAGCTATGCTGTCTCTTTATCATACAAATCAAATTGCAACAGCCATGGAAAATATTGACAAAAAACAATGTGGAAATGTGATGTGCTTTATCACAGATGCCACTTTTATTGATTCGGTTACTGCTGTTTTTAATGCACAAGATATGGTATATGCTTTTTTAATATTTAAGGGTTGTTTGTGATAAACTACTGAAATAAATAAAGAAGCCATTTCTGACTGGATTGTTATCTTTTTTTTTTATTTTCCTCATTTTGGATCAGGATTTCCTGAATAGTTTCATTAAGGCTCACAGAAAAGAAAATGCTGTCTTAAAATGTTGGTTTTTTATTTTAATATATTCTGCTTTCTTTATTTAGTTTATTTTTTCAGAGAATTTTACAAAATTTATGATTTTATCACATAACACATAAATATTATAAATTTCAAAAATTTTCATTTTTTTAAACATAGCACAAACAATAAGAAACTCAAAAAAAAACCTTTTTTGAGTTTCTTATAATTATTTTGACCTAATAATGATAGAATTTTATTTCTTGTTTTCAAGGAGTTTTGAAAGTTGCAAATGAAAGTTTTTCAAGAAGAAAAACTCTAAAGTTTTTAATGAAGGTTTAAGTATTTCATCTAAATTTTGTTATATCAGAAAAGTTTTACATGATAAAAATAGAATTATGACAAATGACCTAGTAGTAAATTTACTTAACAAGATTTTATTAACAATAACAAGAATTGAATTCAAAGATATTGAATTCTGTTCAAGAAAATGATGTTAATTTGCCAGCATTTACAAAGATATTTGATTCTGCACCCCATAAAAGATTACTGATAAAATTTAAATGTTATGGAGTTTTTAATACATCATTATAATAGATTGAAGCCTTTCTTAAATAAATGTTATGGGGTTTTTAATACATCACTATAATAGATTGAAGCCTTTATTAAATAAAGAAGAGTTATTATAAAAAGAAATGTCTTATCTTGGAAAGATGCACTTATTGATGTGCCGCAAGGTTTTTTTATTAGCTTCTTAATTTTTTTATTTACAATAAAGATTTGCCTGATAAATTTGTAAATATTTCAAAGATGTATGCCTGTAATGCATATAAGCATTGTCAAAGGGTTGTCAAAAGCTGTCAACTGGTCCAATATGTAAAAATATGTATATGTATACATATATATATATATATATATATATATATATATATATATATATATATATATATATATATATATATATATATATATATATATATATATATATATATATATATATATATAGCGATGTATCCAGGTCGATTTTGATACTGGTATACCAGTATGGGCCCCAAAATTTCTGCCCAAACTTATAGTTGGTAAATACTGAGGACTTATTTATATTTTTATAATTTCTATCATAAAAAAATTAACTTGAAAAAAATATACTTAAAATGAGTTTCTCCTACGCTTACATTTTGATAACTATAATTTACAATTCAATTAAATTCTATAAGCTTTAAACTTTATCATTTTAAATAATTTGTTGTTTGTTTTTTTTTATATGCATATGAAGTTTTAGAAACAGGCTCGGATATGCTTAAGCAAAAAGTTAAAAAAGGCTCAAAAATATGCCTAAACTTAAGCATATTTATAATAAAATATGCTTATTTCAATACTTTCTAAAAATGCATGCGCTACTAAAGGTTAATGATTGTAAGAAAAATAAAAAGTCGACTTTAGTACAGTATAATAAAAATATACTCAGGGTTCGAATTAAGCGTATTGCGATTGCTTTTTATACTTTCGCAATTAGTTTTTTTCTTAAAACATATATTTTTGCGATTGGTTCACTTTTTTAGTTGTTTATTTACTTTTTTTCTAATTTAGCTTTTTTTTTTTGGCAATTCTTAAAAAGTAATGTTTTCGTAGTAAAGTACGTCATGCAAAGTTTGTCTTTTGAATAGAAGCATGATCATTTGCTCTTTCGCGCGGAGATTTTTTCTTAAAAAAAGTATTTTTTCTTCATTCTATTTTTTTTAACAAAACAGCATTTTTTATCTTTTTTTAAAAAAAATGTTGCTCCAAATTAACTTAATAATGAATTAAATTATTATTTCATAAACAATTTTATATAATTATTTTTACTACTTTAAGTATAATAAAATATATATAAATTCGTTTTTATTAAATAAAATCTCTATTAGTAAAATTGTACTAATAGAAACCAGCAACTTTTTTGCTTTCACGTTTTTCGCTTTTAACGACCTTGAAACTATTAAAGTTATATTTAGTTAACTTTACTGAATGGATAGAGTATATCACAGTGTATTAACTTATAACCTAAATCAAAACAACCAGTTAAGTTAAGATAGTAATTTACTCAAGTAATAATTTAACAGTTATATTAACTTATTTAATATACTCGCAAAAGTTAGCCATAGACATGTTTCAATTTAGATCTTACATGTTGTTAAAATATAATATAAGCTTTTAACTAGTAATTATTTTAACAAAAATTGTCGAATAGAATATGAAAAACACGACACTTTTTTTTTATATTTTCATTTTATTTATAGCGACATCTAGACTAAACATTTTCTATAAATACGCAAGTTGCTTTCAGGAGTTTTATTTAAAAAGAAATCTACTTAAACAAGATAACTTTAGCTTTAAATTCAATTATTTAAATAACTTTGTGATTGAAATTTGAAATTGAAAAAAAAATTCAAAAATTTAAAATAAGATTGATGAAACAAGGGAGAATAAAGATGAAAGTTTTTTTTTCGTAAATCGTAAATTTTGTTAACGTTTTGAATTATATATTTTTTCTTGAAAATAGTTTTAAAAGTAGAAACATTCTATTGCAAACATCAAAGCAGTGATTGCAAATTACAAGTTAAAATAAAAATTATAAAAATTTTGAATTAAATTTAATAAATTATTTTACTTCTGTTCGAAAAATTTTTTTTCTCAAAAAATATTTTAAGCATATTCTTATACTTAATATAATTCGATTTATTAAACAAAATTTTTTTGTTTCACTTTTTTTTGGAAAACAAATAGAATAAAAAAAATTGAATGAAAACATCAGTTTAAAAACCTTTTGAATGAAAAACTTAATTATACTTAAATTTTTAATAGTACGCTCGATCAGGAAACAATAATTTATAATAGGCGTGGTATCTAATGTTTTTTTGCTTTGATTTTACTCATTTGGTCTATTGATTATAAACTCGTATAGGTCTATAAGCGCAAATATGAAGTTTTGTTTTAGTTTATTAACTAGCTCAATTTTATTTATTTGCTTCCTTTTATTTTAAATGCGTTTTATTTTATAAACTGTATAAATCAAAACGAAACAGCGTCACAAATTTGTTTTACATTATTCCAAGCTCTTTATATTTTTAAAACAACTTTGCAGTTTGTTTTAATGTTGTTTTGTAGCTTTTAACAATTAAATACTTTTTTAAATTAACACGTGTTTTAACGTCAGCATGAACGTATTAAATAGTTTTCTTTGACCAATTAAAGTGGTTTAGATATTGTAATGTTGCTTTTTCTCTTACTTTTTTACTTTTACTTTTTTAAGTATCATGTTGTTATGTAACATTATGTATCAAAGAAATATCTTAATAGTATTAAAAACGTTATTACTTATTACAACTGCAACTTAAACTTTGAGTTGTAACTTAAGTTGTAAATAATAACAGTAATTGTAAAGTTGTAAATAATAACTTACGCTATTTTATAATCTGCCAAACAAACTTATAATTATATACTAACGCAACTTCCGTCCGCCTCCCCCCTCCTTCCCTATTACCGCAAAGCGGTGCAAGGTATAGTGTGTGTCTGTGTGGAGGGGGGGGAGGGTAAAATAAAATTTTTTTTGCGATTAGTATTTTTTGCATTAATTCGAGCCCTGATACTATATACAAATGTTATCAATGAAATAATAAAATAAATAAAATTTGAAATAAATGAAATAATAAAATAAATAAAATTTGAATAATTTATATGGTTTATCAAGGCTCAGGAATATGCTTACGTATGCTTATTTTTTTTCCAAATCTGAGCCTTCATAGGCTTATAAACGTTATGCTTATGAAAAAAAAAACATGTAGTAAAATTGCAGTAAAAATGTAAATAAACTGTTTTAAGTTATAAAATTAATAAAACTTTTTTTTAAATGTAATAAAATGATAACGCCAAAAAAATTGATTTAATAAGTACGAAAAGAAAAAAAAAAAGTTATTAACTTTTGAATGAATGAGTGACCTTGCTATGTCTGTGTTATGAATGAATTAATGGCCTTGCTATGCTATAAAGCGTTTTGTTTTTATAAACTTTAATTACTAAAATTTGTTTGCAAAATTTTGTATAGTACGTTTAACTTAATATAGATCAACCAAAGACATCTTGTTGTTGCCACAACAAAAGTTCGTCCACTTACAGATTTTTACACAGTAAAAATAACAATGCAAATTCTGGACAAAAGTCAATTTTTGAAGCATTTGCTGTTAAACAAACTACAAAATACAGAACAAGTTCAAGAAGAGGTAGATCAGCAGTTAATTCCTGAAATAAGAACAAGCGAAAGCGAAATTATTATCTGACGTGAATCAAACGAAAGCGTTATCCCTAATATCAACGAACATTTACTAGATGGACGTATGTACATGATGTGTCACCAATCTCAGCAAAAATGGGAAACAACATTTCCATTTGTTATTTATTCTGTAAAGTATCAAGGTTGGTTATGTAGTATTTGTAAAGAATATGAAGATATTGGAGAAGTGTGGAGAACTAAAGGCGTATGAGCTTTTTGAACATTCACAAAGGACATTTACTGCACATCAAAATTCAAAGAGCCACCAGGATGCTGCCGAAAAATGCAACGGGTCAAAAAAATACTTTCAACCAAAGGAACTGTATTCAATCAGATGGTTGATGGCAGCTCGCTATACAGAACTGAGGGTAAACAGCGCAACCGTAACGTCATAAAAAAGTTTTTTAAAACTGTTTACTTTGTAATTAAAAAGAGCTACGCAGTCCGGGAAAACTTTAGTGATATTGTTGAATTATTTTGAGATCTTGGCAATAAGATAGATTCACACTTTAAAATTGCTAGCAAACAAGTAACATTCACATCATCAACTAGTGTTGATTAGTTTGTCAAAATAATTAGTGATAAATTAGACAATGAAGTTTGCACAAAAATTATTTTGGCCCATTACTTTAGTGTTCTTGCTGATGAGACGAGTGATGTGGCGGATAGGACTGTCTTTTCTGTTTTCATTAGATAAGTTGATTCTGATTCTTATACTATTAAAGAAATATTTCTTGGTTTAGTCCAAGTTATTGGAAGAAAGGATGCGCAAACATTATGTGAACAAATACAACTAGTTTTAAAATCTAAATCGATAGATATCCAGCAACTGCGCTTCCATGGCTTTGATGGAACTAACACAATGAGTGGGGTGCGTAATGGTTTACAAGCTAAGCTAAAAAAAAATTCTCCCCACTCAATGTACATTAACTGTCGTTGTCATTGTTTAGGTTTTGTGTGCGTACACTTAATAAAAGAATTTGATGTCCTAGTTAGCGTTGATGCTAATCTTGGGAGTTTGGAAAGCCATGAAATATTCTAGCGCAAAGGCCTCAATATTTGATGCAGCACAAAATGCTGATGGTTTAAAACTAGCGAAGTTACTTAAAACTGCTCCAACACGTTGGTTATCTCATGGCCCTTTCTTCGGTACAACTTGTTTCAAGATTTGAACAAGTTATAAACTAGGGCCCTGCGAATCAGCAGTTTTTATTTCGAATTGAATCTTGAGTCAAAGCAGGTCTTGGTTCGCAATTCAAATCACGTTTCGAATCAACATTTTGAAGTCTAAATTTAAGCATTTTTTATTTAATAATATATATTTCAAAATAAAATAAAATAAAACAATTGCATAATCTCTTTATTGATGCTTCTTGCCCTGGTTAACCTTTTAATGATTGATTAAAAAGGTATTTAAGGATAAGTAACGTTATTTTGATAGTGCCAAAGCGCAGAATATCTAAAATACCCACAACAAAAACAAAATAAGTAAGAATGCAAATTTTTAAAAATTTTCCATTTGTATCTTGAATCATATTTTTGATTCAAATTAATGACAATGTATTTTTAGTGTTTGATGCATTTAATGCAACTGGTGAAAATCAAGATCCCAACAAATTTTTAGCTAACATTAGTAAACTTTCACAATTTTATAGCCATGCAAAACCTGCTGTCATCGACAGAGAAAAAATTATTGCACCACCAATGTTTAATCCTATTCAAGATAATGAAGATGATATCTATCATTTTCTCTCTGATTATAGAAAAATCTTATTTAACCTTGAATTGAAAAGGAACCTAAAAATTCAATTAATATAAAGAATGAGATCCAATAAATTGGATCTTATTCTTTACATTAGTATGCGAATAAAAGGCATAAAGGAAAATAAGTGGCAAATCAATGTTGACATTAAAGCCATTAATATTACATTACTGATTAATTTGGTTACTTATTCCTATTTCTACTATTTAAAAAAACTACTTAATTTTAAAGTGAATTTTAAGATAGCTAAAAGAAAAGAAAAGGAAAAAAAAAGTCCTCTAAACACAGACCGGTATGCCTCTGGATATGTCACTGATAAAACTACTTTAAAAACACCAAAATATAAAAGAAAAAACATGTAATATACAAATATACAATGATGTTAACAAGAAAAATACTTTATATAGTAATCAATTGGGACCCATGTCTAAATTTAGTCTTTTCATTAATCCATGGGATAAGATTAAAAATAATCACAATGGTTTACTGGCCAGGGCTTAAATTATTTTTTCTTATCTTAGTTTGTTCTGACAATTATAATATTTTCTTAAAGACAGTAAATTGATTCTTTTTTTTTTTAATCATGAATATTGAATATATTTTACTTTTTTTTTCTTTACTAAATGTGTGGGAGCAAGTATAGTTGAGTCTTTAAATTAAATTTAACAATCATTTTTAAAGATTTTTTGACAAGTTAGACATGCATTTTTTTTTAGTTCCCAGCTACAAATTATTTGCTAACTGTTGCTGTTGTACCCCAACTTCCAAAAAATGCTCAAGTTGAGTGGCATGTTATTAGTCATTGTTGTGAAAGTAAAAAAGATAATAACGAAGGTTTGTGTTTAGATTAAGATTTTTTGTTTAGACTATGATCAATTTATAATGTTACAAGGTATCACTTAACACATTATAAACTGCATTTAAATATAAAATTAAAATCAATAATAAAAAAAAAAAAAATGTTTTTTAAATTTTTTGATATTGATATTAGAAAACATGCTTCAATTATGTCAAACACAATTTTTTTAAATTCTCAAATGTCCTAAATATTATAATTCATCACATTTAGCTCAGCTGGAAACTTAGCCTCAACTTTACTTTATCAAACACCACCTTGGTGCCACTGCCACTACCTTGGTGTCTTTGCCACCACCTTGGTGTCTTTGCCACCACCTTGGTGTCACTGCCACCACCTTGGTGTCACTGCCACCACTTTGTTGTCACTGCCACCACCTTGGTGTCACTGCCACCACCAAGTTATCACTGCCACTACTTTGGCTTTGATTTTGATAAGTTTTATGAACAATAATTCCTAAAACATTGTTTCTCACTAGCAACTGTTTTCTAATTTTTTCCTAAATTTTAATATATTTATTTTAATATGTTATTTTTAGCATTAGAGGCTTCTCACAAAACCATTATTAATATTGTTATTATTAGTAATATTATTGTTTTAAATTCATGAATATTTTTACAGGATTTTTATTAATCGTAAATACTGCTTTTAATTGGTTAAAAAAAATAGTTTGCTAAAAGAAAAAAGATGTATTTAAATAATTTGATAATTCTTTTGATCAAACTATTTTTAATTAATCAAATTGAAGGCAGAGATTCATTTTATATTTTTGCACCCATAATAAAGCTATTATTTTTAGTTGATCAAATTGAAGTCATCTTTTTATTTTTTGCACCCATGAAATAAAAACCTTTTCTACTAAATTTCAATTAGAAAGCTTTTGTAGCCTTATTCAAGGAACTCAATTCAACCTTAGCCTTATTCATAGTTAGTTTCTATTATTAACTTTGTGCAAATAAGCAAACTAACAGTGATAATGTTTACAATAGATAATAATCTTACTGGGATAATGTTTACAATGGTTAATCAATGGAAACTTTTAATGATGTTGATAGTCTGATAAAATTAAATCTTTAACTTCATAGTTTAAAAAAGTGTTAAATCAAAACTTTTTGAAAATTTTTAATTAACTTAAAAACTAATACATGTATTTTTAAATATGGTTTGAAACAACTAAATTATGTGATTTCACAAATTACATGAATAAATTAAATAAATTTAAAAAAAATTTTTTTTTCAAAAATCATTAGCTTTTTTTTTATATAAAAAAATCAGTTTAAGTGATGGCGGCTATTATATTTTGATTACTTACTTTCACTCTTTGATTTGTGTTTTGTTTCCAATCATAGCTTGTACTCAGTTAGATTTTCCTTGTTTTCCAATGGGTGGTTCAGACCATGCTATGATCTCACTAAAACTTTTTTTTTACACTTTCTTCTGCTCAACTTATCATTTATATATATATAAAAATAGTGCAATGATCACTGTTTGTATTTTTTTCTTTAAATCATTTTTTAAAACTGTTACATCTAGTGTTTGGTCAATAACAATATTAATATTAGTTGAGCAGAAGCTAAACAATTTTTATTTTTTTTAAGTTAAACAACTTTGGTATTATATCATCTTTTGAATTAGATTTTTAAATTTCACTTTTTTAAATTAGATTTTTTTTTTAAATGAAAAAAAAAAGTTGTATCCTACAAAAAAATATCTTTACAGTCAAAAACATGATACTTGTATTTTCTGTAATTATTAAAATAAATAAGTAACAATAGTAACTAATAGTAGCTTATGATTAAATGTATAACTAGAAAAAAAAATAGGCGTATAAGAGTTTTTGGAGCACTTAGGAACAGTCAAAGAAAAAGGATGAGACTTAATTGAATGACAAGTAACACGAGAATGAATTTTAGTAGATGGCAGTAGCATGGCTTACTTAAATATTCAGCCGGACTTGTTGCTTACAAGTCCGATAATTAGTAGGCCAGTTTTTATTCAAGTTCTTTATTTGCATGTTATTTACGTGGTTCTCAAAAGATTTACAACTATTTTTATTAGAATAAAAATAAACTTTTATATAAAATGCCTAAAAAGTGCTGTGTAGTTGCTTGCAGAAGCGGTTACAAAAAGAAAAAAAATGACGATACTGTAGAGGGTTTTATAACTAAAACAGTATTTAATTTTCCCTCAGACATAGATTTATGCTCCAGGTGGATCAAGTTTATAAACATAATTAACTGGAAACAATCTAAATTCTCTGGAATATGTATTTGTCATTTTGAAGAAAAAATTATTAAACAAGGCAAAAGAAATACACTAGACTTTACAAAGAATCCTATTCCAACAATTCATACAAATAAAGATTGTTTTTTAAAGCCATCTTTACTTCCTACACCTATAACTTAAAGAAAGACTCCTACAAAAAGACCTTATTCTCATTCATTGCTAGATGAAACAGTGGTTTTCAACAAACTAGATAAGATTTGTTTAATCAATGACTTGAAAGAACAAGTTTGTCCTCAAAATTTATTAAAATATTTATTAAAAGAAGAAAAAATAAGCTCAGATTCAGTTTTGTTAATTGATGAAATGTACTTGCAAAAAAGTATTCAATATCATTTTGATAAATTTGTTGGAAAAGATGAGAACGGAGAACTTTATTCAGGAGTTTTTATGTTAGTTGGTATTAAACGTTCTATACCTTTTGTTGTTAAAGCATGTCCTGAAACAAGTAACAAATCTTTTTGATGCTAATTTTAAAATTCATGCTATCATAACAGACAACCATTCAACTAACACACTTGCATTTAAAAAACTCATAAAAAAGTATAATTCTAGTGAAAACTTTTTTTTTTATTATGGACAAAATAAAATTTATACATTATTTGATAGTGTACATATTTTAAAAAACATCAGAAATAATTTATTACATTCAAAGAGGTTTATTTTTCCAAATTTAAATTTTGATAAATTTGAGGATTCAATTTATGTTGAAGCTGGAGATATTTGTTGGCAGTTATTTCACCAAGCTAATGAAAAAGATATTTACTGCCTGCTAATTTAAAGAAGGCTTACAAACTTACTCCAACTGGTTTACATCCAGGAAAAAATAAACAAAGTGTTAAACTGGCTTTGCAAATTTACCACGAGTCAACATATACTGCCATTAAAAGTTATTTTCCTATAGAATTAAGTGCTACTAATTTTCTATATTTGATAAATGCTTGGTGGACAATTTCAAATTCAAAGAATATATAACACTAATAATAAAATAGGAAATGTTGTTGTTGCAAATGATCAAAAACCTGATTTTTTAAATGCTTTTGCTCAATATGTAAGTGAATGGTATAATACAAATTTACAGGGATGTCACAAATTGTCACTTTCAGCTCAGACATCAAATGCACAAATTTTTACATTAAAAGGAACTGCATCTTTAATCAAAGATTTACTTTCAGAAGGATATGATTACATTTTAACCAGTAGATTTCAAACTGATCCTCTTGAAAAACATTTCGGGAAACTTAGGTAGATGAGTGGCAGAAGGTTTCTGGTTAGTTTGCGTGAATTTGAAAGTTCTGAAAAAATTAAAGAAACTCTGGCATTGAATACATTTTTTAATAATGAAGTACCAGTAAATAATGATGCAAAAGAGCTTGAAACAGCTTTACTTCTGTTACAAAATGAAAGTGAAAAAAATATGATTTATGTGAAAGTTCAAAGGAAGTTGTTATTCATGTTGCTGGGTATATAACAAAAAAAAATTAAATCCAAATTTAAATGTTCTTTGTGTTCTTGTGATCTTCTTCAAACTAACAAAATATCTTCATTTTATATAGAAATACTATCAAGGGAGGGTTAACTAAGCCTAGTGAAAACATAGTAGAATATGTTTGCTCCTTATTTTGCATATTAGACATCACTAAAGAATTGTTATTAACTAAATATTCCAACAAATTGAAAAATTCAGCTCTAGTTGCACTTGAACTGTTCAAAAATAACATTTGTTTTATGTGTTCTGACCATTTAGAAACAGGAAGACAGTATATTCACACAACTGTTATTAATATATTTTATAATAATGAACAATCAATTCAAAATGGAAAGGTTCGAAAAGATGAAGTAGTAGCCTTTAAAAATCGACACAAAAACAAACTCAATTTATTATCCTTATTTTTGCTATAGATATACTTTTGTTTGGACTCTGTATATTTAATTTTTTGTATGTTTTGATTTGCTTATCTATAGCTTCATCGTCATCTTTTTCTAAAGCTAATTTATGGTAGCTAAATTTGGCTTTTGTGTTTTTTTGTTAAAACTATTTTGTTTTTTGATAAGTTTTGTAAAAGATGAAAAAGTTTTGAAAAAAAGTGTTTTTATATAGCTGTATTTTTTTGGCTTATATATTTTTCTTAAGTTATATTTTGTTGAAATATATTTGATATTTGAAATATATATTTTTAGATAATATTAGTTTAATAAATAATAAATAATAAGTTCAATAAATCATAAAAACTGGCCTACTATTTTTCGAACTTGTAAGCAACAAGTCCAGCCGTGTATTTAAGTGTAGCCATGGCAGTAGAGATTCAAGCTCTTTAGAGCAGTGCCCATTAGAATATTTGTTGAAAAGAGAAGCAACATTACGACAATATGATAGTGGTTGGAGGTTGGCTGCAAGAGCTTGTCCAACTATGTTTTCAATGCATTTTTGCATCTTGTCTAAAAAAGAAAGAACATGATTTGAACACCTCACGAAGATCCACCCCAGGTAGATTTTGAACACCTCACGAAGATCCACCCCAGGTAGATTTTGAACACCCCACGAAGATCCACCCCAGGTAGATTTTGAACACCCCACGAAGATCCTCAAGATTCTCAAGAAAAATTTTTTTATTTCTCAAGAAATTGAAATTCTCGAGAAAAAAATTTAAAATTTTATTTGCTATAATGATTAATCTAATTCAAATTATAGTTC